TAGAATAGCGATCTCATTGCCTAATGTTTCTTTTTTTTTTTATTATCATTTTTTTATTTTATTTATGCATTTGGTTGTATGTATATTTCGGTAAAAAAAAGAAAACAAAGAATTATTTCATTGAATTCGAAAGTTTCTTAAATCTCTCTTTCTTCTTGTTGCTATTTTCGTTGTTGTGACTCTGTTTTCTTTGTCATTTTTACGCTTGAAACGCATTCTAATAAAATACAAAAGTTGTTTGCAACTCAATTTAATTTACTTATTGTATTTAGTTGATTTACCAGAGATTTTAAACAATATATCAAGTTGCTGTCTTACGTGATGAGAGATGACGAAATTTTAAGTGATTACATAACATTTAAAAGTTGGCTTTTTTTATTTTTATTTTTTCTTTTTTTTTGGCAATAGAAAAGCATAAAAATATGGATACTAAACAATTCACCCTTCAACATTTGTTGCAGTTGTTAAGAAGAACTTTTTTCTGTTTTAAAGAAGAATCATTGCAGAAAAGAAGGTGTAACAAATTTCGTTCAAAATAAGAAACAATACTTTTAGTTTGAGAGCCCCAAAAAGCAAGTTTTATTACTAGGTAACAATTTTGTCTCTGGTGTAGTCGAAAACTTATAAAAGAAGCTCTACTTCTTCTCCCTCTCATTCAAATAACTTTTAAGAAAAAATTTGAATTTATTGCTACAAATATGCATTTAATTTTTTTAGGCATTACTTCTTCAAAATATTTTAATATGCTCACTAAAGACAAATAATAGCAATTTTCCAAGTGGTTTCAAAAACCTTTAAAAACTAAGACCATTGTAACTGTCTAAAAGTGTGGGTTTTTTGGTTGTTTTTTCCGGAAAGAACGAGGGATAGGACCAAAGTCATATTTGATTAGATTATTAGGCGTATCTTTAAGTATTTGAAACGAAAAATTATATTTGAAAAATATTAAATACCCTACATCATCCTACAATCATTCAGATAACGGCTTTTCGAAATAAGGCTTTATATGCAAACTGTTTGAAAAAACCTAACCATTTTCAACAGTGTTCTTCTTCGACCAAAGCACGTCAACGACGATGGATCTATCTTAAGTCCTTCTGCTGTGTAGGACATAAAAATAATATATTTCTTCATTATTACTTAGATTCGAATTTAGAGGATTTTCCCAAAATTACGCACATTTACATACGCTTACACATTGTGCCAATGCGTTCAACCACTTCTTGTAAGCATTTTTTAAAATCGTCTCGATTTCCATTTGTGGCTTTTTGCAAGTTTTCAAAAAAACTTAAAAAGTGTCTTCCTCGACACCTTCTGGATGTTGCATATATGCACACAAACTTAATATACCTTTGCATCACAAACTGTGTAGGGTATAAAAAAACTTAAAAATATGAGAAAAGATCGAATAAAAAAGTGCGAATTTTTTTAAGTTTCGCTGCTTGCAATTTTCAAAAGTCCCGTTTGGAGTTTAAAGTTTTGATATGTGTTTGCAGACGTGTTTTTTTTTTTTTTTTTTTTTACTTTTCATCATTAGTTTGCAATGTTAAGACCACAAAAATGCCCTTAAATTTTCGAATATCCCTTCATCTGTGAAGGACAGAATTGCAAATTGTGCACCTTACGTGTTTTGAAATGATGTAGAAAACGGCATCGTCGCATCGCATAGCTCTCCTTCTGATATATGCATCTAATAGATGCCTCAATGAAGCTACGCTAACGTGTTTTTGTTCAGGAACGTATTTAAATGAATATATAAGCCCTTTCTACGGAGATGTGCCAACGGATTAGAGAAGTTAGTAATCAAGAATTAAACCATTATTTTGTAACTCCCCAGCAAATACTCATAGTACGCAGATGGTAACTTCTGGAAAAAGTAGCAAATTACAAAAAAAGATTCTTTTCAGTCCGTATTCTAGACAGTTCAAAGCATCAATTAATTCAACAAAAAAAAAAAAGTTGATTTTCCGAAAACTTTGTATTGGTGTTACCGATTCAAGAGTGAAAAATTAACGAAGTCGATATAAGATACGACTGTTCGTTGACGTTAGCATCTTTTTACACGTAATAAAAAGAATGAAAAAGACGAGACTCGTTTAAATATTTCATGAAAAAATCTTAAAAATATTTAAGTAGCTTTTCTAGAATTTCTTCGCTTCATTTTGAGGTTAAATTCGTTCCATATCGTCGTTAAAAGGTGATCGAATTAAATTAATTATTTGGCTGGCAAGTACAAGACATATTTTAAACATTGAAATATCTAAAGTCGTTTTTGCCTGTCCAACTTCGTTTAGGCGTAAGTGTAACGCACATTCAAATCAAAAGGTTGACCTTTCAAAACATACTTCAATAATTCCATAGAATTTCAGCGTTTATTTGAGGAATACTATTTTCTCTACTTAACCCTAATCCGTTTGAAAAATCAGCTATGAACGATATCCTACGAACGTTTCCCTACGAAATTATATCTTGTATGTTCAGATTCTTTGTTTTCAACCTTACGATGCCCACATTGTAATGATATCGTAACTTTAACTTTACCCGCATTATTTAGAGTGCAAATTATGATGCGTACTATGGAACCATAAAAAAGTACATAGTTAGTAAACTTTCCCGAAAAATTTTTATTAACACTTTATATGGGCAACCAATTTATGTATTGAAATTTCGGAAAAGCTACGAGTTATGAAAAAAATGTAAAAGTTCTGCATCTCATAAATTTTCAATTACAATTCGCTTCACTATATTGAAACAATGAGATTATAAAACTTTAAATGTTTCGCGCATATTTTCTAAATGACATGAACAAATTTGAAAAGTGCGGTTAATATAATATAACCAAACTATTACGCACATTATCGTTCATCATCACACCCGCATTTACTAAAAATTTAAAAGACAAACGGAAAATCTCACTTCAGTGTCGTGGCGTCGCCTTCGTCATTATCATCGTCTTCCAGCAAATTTGTCAACAACAACTTGTAAAGAATTTCAAATATGGAACAACCTGCTCGGTTATTATTAAGTAAATATTAATTATTTTAATAGTTATTTGAAGTAAAATAATAATAAATTTAAAAACTTTTTTGATCAATTTAAAATTAAAGAGAAGATTGGAGAATTTAAAATATAAATACAAAAAACAATGTTTTTATATAAAATAATTTAAATTAATTAAAAACAAATAAATAAATAAATAAATAAAATAAGAAGGTTATAGTCGGGCAAGTCTGGGTATTAGATATCCTACAGTAACTATTTCATTTTCATGCAAAAGCACACTTTTCGTAATGATGCCCGAAACATCGCATGACGTGATGCAAACTTAGCAAACTTACGTTACTATCATTTACTAACATTTTATTATTTTTCGGTTTTCTTTAGACTATTTCTCAATATAAGGGCTTGCCTTTTATAGTAGCTCGTATATATGTTGGAGTCTAAAAAATAGACCTATCTGGTCCTAATCCCCTGCCGGTAATTTTTCTGTTAAATTGCTTCGTAGAAGCTTCTACGATTCGACTTCTCTGGATGTTGCATACGTTCGCACAAATTTATTATTCTAAAAAGAGACTAAAAAGCAGGAAAAAATCAAATATTTCTAGTCCATAGTATTAGGTGGGCATGGCTGATTTTTCCCCATTTTTCCTCGTCTTCTTCAATAGCAATACGAATTAATTGAACGCTTCTCTAATATTTTGATGAGTTTTTTAAAACAACATGTGTTAAGACAAGTAATCTTTTCAGTTTTTGCAATGACTTCACAATTTAAATTCGAAGCTCTTGCTCTGAAACAGCCTTCTAACATTTTCAAACAGATAGTAGTCGCAAACTGCAGTTCTTGTATTCTTGTCGTTGTGTAGCCATTGACTTCTAACACTCGGTTCGAATTTCGTGAACAGATTTCTCGGGTAAAATAATAAATACATTGCGTTTTGATACCTTTAGGGTATCAAGTAATTCTTGCAATTTCACTTATCAATTACCAACAATAATTTTCAAGAATTTCTCATATTTTTTTGTTGTAACCATTTAATTTATCCACCCCTTAGATCGGTATTCGCAAATATTTACTTAAAATCAGCAAAATATCGATAAATCCTTGTTTTCGACGAAGAAGAGTTGCCATAACGCTTATCAAGCCAATGCTGACTTCAACGGCATTTCGGATATTTTCACTGTTTTACAGATAACAAAGATACCGTTTAACAACTCGTTAACTGATAAGGGAAATGATATAAAGTTTTGATGGGCGACGTTTGAGTATCAGTGGTTTGTAATAGTAATATAGACTTTTTGTTAGAGACCCTTCGTTTTATTCCCGGGAATTATTGATCGATACTTTACATTAAAAGCCTTAATTTTATCAACATCAATAGTTACTAGTAACTATAAACAAATTCGAAGCGTTTCAAATCAACGCAACGAAATTTTTGAAACGATTTCCTTACACTCACTTCCGCCTACGATTCTTTTCCTTTACGCTTTCTTTGCGTGACCTTATGAGGTGTTTTCGCGTTTTCAAAAATGATTGATAGGAATGCTTTAATTTTCAAAAAAAAAAGCTGTAATCTAACACAAATATTTGTATAATATGATATACCAATGTCCATGAAATCAAGCATCAAGAATATTTGTTAAAAATTCTTATCTTTAATACAAAAAGTTTTCTATAAATTTTATTAGGATTCACTTATGCCTGTTTATGCGCCTTTAACTCTACATCATCACCGTCTCGTATTGCTATAAATTGCTATAAATTGCTATAAAACGCATACATTTTTCATTTTTCATATTTACATATATTGGAATGTTCTGTGGATTTGTTTGTAAAAAAAAAAAAAAAAAAAACATGAATATATACGTACGTAACGATTATCATAATTTTAATCGCTATAAAATATTTATACATATAAATTATTTGTAATGATTTTCTTGTTTTATATTTTATGTTTTGATTTTTTTTTTTTTTTATTTCTTTTTGTAATTTACTTTAATAGTAGGCAGCAAATGTTTAACATCAATTTGCCCTGCACGATGGAGAATAAAGAGAACACGCGGCCATTTGTGATACGTGAAAGTAGCAGTGATAGCGATGAAGATGGCGGCCGTATATTATATCGTGACGATGATAACACCAGACAAGCTAAAATAGCACGGAAAGAATCGTTATCATTAAAATTGCAATTACGTCCCGATAAGCAAGATTTAATTAATCGTAATATACTGCATCAGGTGACGGATAATGAATTAAAGGAAACAAAAGAAGCAATTGGAGCACGACTGATAAGACGTTTGTCCATGCGGCCCACCGCCGAAGAGTTGGTGGAACGCAATATATTAAAGAGTACGTTAGAGTTAATATCGGCTTAAATTCATTTCTTAAATAAGAAATTTTTCGATTTTTCGTTGCCTTTTTTTTACCATGCAGCACAAACACCCGCCGAAGAGAAAAAGCAAAAAGAGGAGAAGAAATCATATTTATTGCGTAAATTAAGTTTTCGACCCACCGTCGAGGAGTTGAAAGAGAAAAAGATAATACGTTTCAATGATTATATCGAAGTGACTCAAGCTCATGATTATGATCGCCGAGCTGATAAGCCATGGACAAGACTGACGCCGAAAGACAAGGCTGCCATACGTAAGGAACTGAACGAGTTCAAATCATCCGAAATGGCAGTGCATGAAGGCAGTCGACATTTAACCAGGTATCGGCTGCCGTTTCTTTATCACTTAATTTATACATCGTTTTCTTCAATTGCTTTTATTTATAATAATTTCTCATTCATTCATTCATTCATTCATTCATTCATTTATTTTATTTAGTGCCTTTATTAACATTTTTTATTTTTTGTACTTTGCACTTACAGGTTCCATAGGCCATGACAATTGCAATGGCAGCGTTTTAATATAAATAATAATAATAATAACTTTACAAAAACTCCATACACAACAAAAAATTATGCAACAAAATCTTATTATTATAAAAAATAAAAACGAAAATTATTAGAATAAAAAGAAAAAAACCACAACAAAAAAAGTCAACATTTAAAGAATAAGCACTAAAACAAGAAGAAGAGCAAAACATTCACAAGGAGGATTAAAACAGCAGCAAAGGAAAAATTAAACCAAAAAAAGGAAAAAAAACATAAAATAGAAAAAATTCTTTGAAAAAATATTTATCGAAAAAAAAAGAAATTGAAGAATTCAAGTAGTAAAAAAAGGAAGGTAACTACTCATTGAAAAAGAAGAAGGAAAATCAACTCAAGTACATTTACTTACCGTAAAGGAAATGCACCTAAATAAGTTCGATTTTGGGATTTCAACAGCATCATAACATACGGAGACACACACACACACACACACACACACACACACACACACACACACAAACACACATACACACACTTATAAACGCATTGTGTAAATGCAAGAAGCAAACGCAAGTGTTAATGAGAATAATACATTAAAGAGTTCGGTAAAGAATATTGAGCAGCGTATAGTGGGTACACAATGTAATAAATTTAAAGAATTTCCTAGTTCATTTAAAACCAAAAGCGTGCGAAGAACAAACAAATGATCTTTATTCTGCTTTTCTTTTTAGTTTTTGGCTTAATTAATAAATACTGAGAAAGGCATTTTCTCAGCCTAAAAGCTACAAGTTGGGCAAGACTTGCATTTCGTATAGAAAAACTTGAATTAAAATTAAAGCGAGCACTCACACACGATGTTACAAACTTTTTAAAAGACTCTCTAAATTTTTTTTAATATTTGGGCAAACCCGCAATCCCGCAGCACCCAATATTCGTAAAAGAAACGAATGAAAAACGTGATTGGTCTTTAATAGATTTTCATATAATTGCAAAAGCAAATCTTTTTCCCCTTCTAAATTCTGTTAAAACGTAACGCACATTGAAGTAAACATTTTTACATTCGAATTTTAATGCCTTCTTCAAAACGCGACGTTTGAACAAAACAGAAAAGTTCTTTTATCTTTCGCTTATTGAAGTGCCTAAAGATGTAAAAAATTTTAAACTAAAGAAAAGTTTTTAAAAAAATTCTTCGTAAAACTTGATCTGAATGCGAAAGTGAAAAATTCTTTAATTTGCAATCCAATTTATTTAATTCATTTATAAGAAAGGGAATTTCAATTCCGTGCAACAGCGCCCTTATACTCATTGCTTTGAAGACCCGAACATCAAGCGTAACTTTTACGGTTAATTTCTTTTCTTCTTTTTAATACAAAGTCTTACCTCTGTTTATAGATAGATATGTTTCACTATTTATAGTGGCTCTTGTTAAGCACTCATCAGTTGAAGGGTAAATTGAAGGTGTGACGCTTAATATCATAATTTTTCCTTTGTCTATAGCGTTTAAAAAAAAAACAAAGAAAAAACCGGAAATTTATTGTTCTAAACAAAAATTAAACTAAACTTCGGCATCGTGTTATCTTTCAATATTTAACCTGAATTTGAAACGCCTGAAAATAATGAAAACGCCTTTATACAGTTTTACCTTTCACCTACGGCAACTCTTTTCTAATTGATCAAGTTTTCCCAAATTTTTGAAATCAATCTCTTCACAGTTTGCTACACAAGTAACGCAAACTAAAAATCTCTCGTGAATTTTAGGGCAAAATGTATATTCCACGACGTCTTCACTTTTACTTAAGAAATTGGGCCACTATAAACGGCGGAAAAAAGAACTTTTTTGACAATTTTTTCTTTCATGGAAACAAAAAGGCAATAGAGTATTAAGCATTTAAATGATTTTGAAAGAATAAATTATTTTAGAAAAACTTAAAAAAATGACAAAACCGGAAACTAGTTCGCAAAACATCCCTAATGTAAGCGGGCTCCGAGACAAGCAGTATAGCTGGCATAATTTTGAATCAATGAAAGAATTTCACTTAACATGCATGCCTATAGCTAAAGAAATACGTAAGGGTTTTTAAAAATATTGATTAGTAATGTGATTAAACGATATTCGAGTGGAGAAGTTCAATTTTCAATCCTTTATTAATAAATTAATTTATCGAAAATTCTCCAAGTGCTTTTCTTTAGATTTCAAAGATATTCTATAACATTCGAATGAAAGAAAAGTGAACATTTTTATAATAAAACTGCAAGTAGCGTGTAGTAGCGTGTAAATTTTCAAGTGCACGTATAATATTGCGTGCAACTATATTCAAAAGATCAAATTTTTAGACTCTCGAAAATTTTTCCACGCCCGCAATAATATCATTAATATAAAAATATATATATATAATAACGAAAAAAAATGTTTCATAAAATTTACAAGAAAAGAGTGTATCTTTGACAAGTTTTCTCGGGATGGAAGGAAAGTTCGCAGAATAATGATGTTCGGAGATATTATTAAACTCACATTAAACAGCAACGTTATTTTCGAAAAATGTTAACATATCGAAAATACGAAATGCGGATCGCGATAGAAAATGTTATTTCCTATATATCAGTAAAAATTCAAATGACAACAATAAAAATTTGGAGGAGTTCCTTTTGTAAGCGTATTTCACATCTCTTACAGGCATATTTTTTTACCACAATAAATTTTGTATTATTTTGTTGCATTAGTCTGCGACCCCCGTACCATATGTTCTTTCATATTCAAATATTCTTTATCACTCACCTTCTTCGACGATTTTTTGCGCGAAAGTGCTTCATCTGTCAAAAACAGAACCGCATAATTTGCATATCGTTTGTTCTAATCGGTTTCAGGCTCCTATCAATATTTTTATTTGGAAATGCTTTTAAATGAATAGAAATACTTACTAAAGACATCTATTAGTGTACAGTGATTGCGACATGCCTGATGGTTTAACCCCACGGTGGCCCAAGCCACGGGGTTATTTAAGCGTAATCCACGCCCCCTGGCGCGTTAGACAATCCCTATAAACTACGGGCCTAAACAGCACCAGAGTCCAGATTGTTTATTGTGTATGGCTCAATAAACCCAGTCTGGTCAGTGTTGAGGCCTATCCGCACCTAGATTTGCTCCCCTTTGGCTTGGAACGAGTGAAAACCACAACCACCACGAATACTCCCCGAAGGGGCGTACCCAAGAAGTCAGGGCTCACAAATTGATCAACTTCAATGCGTTCAAGGGAATAGACTCGTTCCACCGTAGTTTTTACAAAGCCTTGTTGATCAATTACCACCAAAGCCTGCCGTCAAATCCCTTTTAAAATTTTATTTACAACTTTTAATTTTAATTCCATCGTTTACCCGCAGGCATACATGGCTATTGTGAGCGGGCTACTGACCCCCGTGGCTCCCAGTTTAAACTAGAAAGCCTTAAGCATACTTTACGTGGCTGAAACAGAGTCAGACCACTCTTGCCTTCGGATTAATCATACAATCCCGGTTAGCTAAAAACCGGACTACCCTTCATCGAGATATTTAAGCTTCGGGCATTGCACTGATATGGCGCGGGCGAACTACCATGCACTCACTAACTACTACCTCCACGTATTTTTGCGTAACCAGTTACCAGCTGGTTTTTGGTTAAAATTTCCTTGGTAGTAATTAGCTTTCCTGAGTAAATAACTCATCTTCCAGTGAACCCCTACACCGTCTCTATTAGTGTACAGGAGAAGTAAGAAATCAACAGCAAAAGCATTTGGTTGCAAATTCCTAACAGATATTCACTTGACCCAATTTATCCATATGAGCAGCCGAGTGATAGAAGCCGCAATTACCAAATCAATGTTCTCAGGTTTCGCTCGTGGCTGTTGTAAGTGTTCAATCAGTGAATGCATAACATTTACCCATTGGTCACACACCCACAAAGCTGCGGTGTACAATCTTCTTGCCTGTTTCTTTTCTCTCACTTCTTTCTGACCATCGCGATATTACACTAATAGGGGGCATCTCCTGAGTTATTGGCCACATTAAAAAAAAAAACAAGCCTTTTTGGAGCGTTTTTTATGTTTGGAGAAAAGGGCATAATTTTAAGAAAAAAATTTATTTCAAGAAATGAAATGATTTTCGTTGAATTTTTTTTTTGAAAAAGTATTATATCTAGTGAGTCAATAAAAAAATGTTTTTTTTTTTTTCTTAAAAAATTTGCAGCGATATCGCCCCTTAACCACTGCAAAAGCTTAGGGAAGCAAAGCGTTCTCTCTTGATTTTAAGGAATAGGAAAATTCAAAAATGACCTTAACATTCTTGAGGAAGATCATAACCGCAAGAGTACCAAAACTTGAAATGCCTGTTTTAAAAAGAAAAAACACGCCTTTTTATTTTTCTCGAAAAACATTTATTTATTCATCAATGTCTATTTTGTCCCCTTTAAAATAAATCTCATTCAAGATAATACATGTGTAACAGCGTTTTTTTCCATCTTCGAAGCACTTCCGATTTGCGTTTTTTGCTATGGCCTTAAGCTCTTCCATTGACGCGGCCTTCATACCCTTTAACGTGACAAAACTTCGCTTTTTCAGTTTTGGAAACAGAAAAAACAGCTGCGATCCTTGTACATAAATATAAGGAACCCGCATAATACGACTTAATCGAGGGTGGCATAACGAATACGCTTTGAAAACGGCGTAGAGTATCAATCTGTTCATTTGTTTGCTGTTGCTCTTATGACCCTACGATTTGAGGAAAACAAATCTTCGTCAATATATTTGTAGGCAATAAATATATTTCTAAAAGCTTCTTCCTTTTTTCTCTTTTTTTTATTGCTATTGTTGTTGTTTGCGTAACATGCGGCATTGGTTTATTTTAAAGGGAAACTTTTATTTAAAAAAAAATTCAACTTCTTTTGCAAATAAACAATACCTTTCAATGCATGCATTGTAAAAAATGTTTTTAATAAATTCAAAAAAAAAAAAGAGAAAAACCATTAACGTTAAGTTGTAGCCACTATAGAGCGATTTCGAGGAAAAAGAGCTAATAGAGAAAACGTACCATTTCCGATTCGGATTAATTTTTTTCAAAGATTTTTATAACCACAG